TAATTAACTAATTAATCAAAAAAAAAATTCTTTATTCTAAATCATTTCAACGTAAAAATTGAAAAAAAATTAGTCTTCAAAGAAGTAATTATTTTAGAATATGATTGCATATAGAATATAGTAATATTCATCAGTTATATCTATTAAAGATTCATAAATAATATATTTGGATAATTTTTTTTCTAATTTATTCAATAATTTCTTTCTTAGAAGAAAAACGAAGTTCTTCGTATTATTTCATCAATATTTTCTGTCATGTTTTTGTACAAAAGTCAATTATCGTCATGATAAATATTAATAATAACAGTTGTACTTTGACAAAAACTATTTTGTTTTGAGTCAATCAGGAGAAAAAAACAATCATTTTGTACGCATGTTTCATAACCGTTAATTTTAAAAGTGTTTGTTTCGTGTACAATTATTTGCATAATTATCTCTTTTTGTTGATAAATAAAATAATGCTATTCATATCTCAATTAGTTATTATGGTTGATTGTCAAAAAAAGAAAATAAATTGATAAAACACTTTTTGAAATAATTTCGATGATAAATAATAAAAATAGAAATTCAAAGAATAAGATCAAATATAAGCATAACAAGCAAAAATTAAAGAAAATGATTGTTGAACATCTAATGCCGATAGTTTGAAATAAAGTAATAGAAAATATTGTTAGACAAAAAAAAAAAGCTATAAGAATTAGTAGCAAAAGTATTAATCATTATCGCTGCATAATAAGTATGTGTTATCCTTCATATTGAACTTGAACATCTTTGATTAATATTTTTTTTTTTGGAATAACTCAATTTTGTCATTTATGGTTATAGCAATTAGAAAAAATGTCATACATCTTATTAATATAATAATAATACGAACACTAGTGGTTATTGGCTAAAGCTCATCATGAAAATCAAATAAAAGTCCAATCATAACTGAATAAGTTGTGATTTGTGAAATGTGAAATCGTTACGTTTTAATAAGGAATCGTAAACTTATTCAATGATCATATGAAAGGAATAGTTGAAACTTTCTGATGTATATTGAAAAATTTCAAAATTATCTCGATTCACAACAATATCGATTTTAAATCAGTCAGTTGATTATTTTTTTGAAAAATAGATTGGATAAAAACTAGATGGTACTCCAATGCGAAATGTGGTACAAAATTTCGAAAATTGACATCTCATAAAAAAAGAATAATCATTTCTACGATTTATTATAAAACGTTTTCTTCCCAAAGATATTGACAGTACAACAAACGATCAGGAAATAGTAGGTATCTATCATATCCTTGGCAGTGTCAAGTGTAGTCGAGGTGAATATGAAGATACCATTGCTGATTATGAACAATCCATTGAAATCATTAAGAAGATTATCTTTCCAACGGATCCCACTTTGGCTCATTCTTATAATAACATCGGTTTGGTGCATTTCATGATGAGTGACTATTTGAATGTACTTTCGTATTATCAAAAAGCACTGGAAATCTACCAAAATATTCTTCCTTCAAATCATCCTCATGTGGCTCAATCTTACAACAACATTGATTTGAAGTATTTCAATATAGATGACGATTCGAAAGCACTCTCATTTTTTGAACGGACTTCTAATATAATAGAAAACTCCCTACCTGTAAATCATCCAGATATTCAATTATAGAGAAATAACCTCGAAAGTGTGAAAACGAAAATGTAATTGATTTTTGTTCTATTCAAACAAAATAAATGTTAGAAAGAGAAAACAGTATTTTTCTTTTATTATTATGTGAACAGATACACATACCTGAGTACAGATAAACTCTGTTGTTTTGAAGAGATAATGGTGAACATGTATTGTAAATAAAAGACCCTTGCGATATAGTCTGTATTTCAATTAGGAGAGTTTCTCTGCATCGGATATGAAGCCATTTAACAGGCTAATGGAAAAGAAAGTTCTTTGATTTACATAATGAATAAGTCTTTCTGTTCAAATGTAAAAATGATTCATGTATGAAAAAAAAGAAACAAGAATTGAATGTTCATCAATTGAATTATTTATTTCACGATATAGTTGAATTACTGTCGCATTAGGAGGAGAAAAAAATAATTCAACTAAACATAGAATTAATTCACTACATTGATGAATGAAAAGAATAATGGTTGAAAACATTAAGAACGATGACTTTATATAAGATTGGAGAGGATAATTTTTTCTTTTTTTTGTTGGAAAAGAAGTTCACTGCTGATTTGACCGTTTATTCATATGTAAACGACAATGCCTATCAAGTGGTTATTCAACGTATAAGAGGAAAAAAATAATTAAGAAACGAGAAAGAAAAACATTAGTCCACTAATATCATTGAGATGAAATAAAATATGAACGGAAAAAGTGTGCGATTATAATCATTCTAAATGCATTTTAGTTGTTGTGTGTCGTTCGATGTAATAGTATTTGTTTGAGATACAAGATGACTTCAGTTTCAAAAATTAATGGATCAATCCATATAACAATGGGAATTGTTGAGGCAGTAAATTAATTAATAACAGTTTCTAAGTTTTTTTGAATTCCAATTGTTATTTTTTCTATTGAATGAAAAGACTGAGAACGCAGACACTAGCTATCTTAATCAAGAATAAATATAAATAAAACAACAAAGAAAGATTATTTTTTTTTGTTTTTTACAAAAAAATTCTTTCTTTTTCTTCAAATAGTTGAGAATAAATTATCGTATACTAAGATTCAGAAAAAGTATACTAGTAATGTGTTCTGCATGTATGATCCTTATTTTAGAACAACACCACATATCAAAGTGTTGTTGATGATAAGAAAAAACGTTGATTAACAAATCTCGTTATTATCCTAGATATTATCTATGTGTTTATCAGAAAAAGAATCTTCAAGTAAATTTCGTTTTAATTCAGTTTTGAACAATTAATAATAGAAACGTTTCAAAATGTGTCTCTGAGATGTTAACTATAATTCATACATTCCTCAAGTCAAGTAATTAAATATATTTGGTATTGAGATTTCTTGACGTAGTTGTAACCATTGAAAACATTTCAGTAATACTTGTCATCGATGACAGAAGATTCTGTTTAACTGTAATATTGTATGTAGAAACGATTTTCTTCATTGAATGTTCATAAAATCGACTATTTCTAAAAGTAATCTATTAATTTTCAATTCTATTTTATGTTAGATATCAATTCGAAGAATTCAGATATAGTTTCGTTATAATTCATTAATCATAACTTTAGTAAAAGTCAAATCTGAATTATTTACGTTTGTTGAAGGGTACTACATATTAGATATGATGAAATATGAAGGCCAAATCTTTCAAAGGATTATCAATCATTGCAATATCAGTTTTATAAAAGTATATAAAACTATCTTTTCAGCAATCAACAATGAGTTCTTTTATCTAAACTAATATCGACCCCAGAAGTCAGTGCACTCGGATGTTTTTTGAATAACTTTCGATAAGAACAAGTTAGAGATCTGCGGTTTTCAATAATCGATAGAAGATTATAGGGAACACATTTTTAAATAAAAACCAAGGTTTAAATAATTAGGCATAATAGAAGTGATTGTTGGATGACTAAAATAATAGACTCGTTATTTGGCAAAATCTCAGCAGAACAAGCTGAAACTTTCAGCATATATAGTCCCACTGTAGTCCAATCTTTCCTAAAAATATCATCGATAAATCTTATAATGACGAGGAATAGTGTGCCAATCATCATCTGACCTTATGTAAAGCTCTCATTCATTCAATATATTAGAAAATGACCTCAACTTTTAGCTAAATAAATACCATAATCTAGACTTCATATCTATGCAATAACACCGTAGTTTGGTCGTAAAAATGTACGGAAACAGCCAAAATTCAACGAAGAAATGATTTTCATATGGTAAGTATTTTAAAATTGATCTTCCCAACTTTATCAAGAGAAATGCAGAACTTAGTAATGTTTCCACCATCTTTTCTCGTTCATATAATCAAACTATGATATAATTGCATAGATATGAAGTCTAGATTATGGTATTTATTCAATCAAAAGTTGAGATCATTTTCTAATATATTGAGTGAATGAGAGCTTTACATAAGGCCAGATGATGATTGGCGCACCATTCCTCGCCACTATAAGATTTATCGTTGATATTTTTAGGAAAGATTGGACTACAGTGGGACTATATATGCTGAAAGTTTCAGCTTGTTCTGCTGAGATTTTACCAAATAACGAGTCTATTATTTTAGTCATCCAACAATCACTTCTATTATGCCTAATTATGAAAACCTTGGTTTTCATATAAAAATGTGTTCCCTATAATCTTCTATCGATTGCTGAAAATCGCAGGTCTCTAACTTGTTCTTATCAAAAGTTATTCAAAAAACATCCGAGTGCACTGACTTCTGGGGCCAATATCAGTAGATTAATATTTTTCAAATAGTAATCTCATCTGAAATATGTTGAAGAAAACTTTAAAAAGACTTAATAGGACATCGCTCATTAGAAAGATTCTGTTGTGACTAGAAGGATTCCTTCTCATATGCTGTTCTTTTAAAGTTATGACTGTTTTACTGAGTTGCTTATCGTGCTATAACTCAGGAAGGACAGCACAAGGTGGACAATCCTTCTAGTCTCAACGGATTCCACGTAATGAACGATGTCTCATCTCAAAGGTGAGGCGGCATCTTGGATGGTTCTCTTGTAGAAATATTCAAGTTTGATTTTTTTTCAATTATTTTTTTTTTTTTGCTGCAACAGTCTAGTTAATATTATTAGAATATCGTATATTAGAATTGTGTTCTCCTATGCTATTCTAGAAATCATTTTCATATATAACAAATCGTACTATTAGTATCATTTTCTTTTTGTCTTTATATTTAAAGTTCGAGAAAAAAAATATACAAATATTGACTGATTATTTTCTATTGTCATATTGATGATTTCCTTATTGATAACCATTTATTTAAAAAATTAATATTGTAGATTAAAAAAAAAATTAAAAAACTTAACAATTAAATTAACTCCCTTATAAATTCTTGTTCAACAGTTTCAAAACTTTCTGCTGGTGCTGAATTTTGTTTTGTAATAAGAGTCAAGTCTTCCGATGATGCTATATGTCCAGCTTGTCGTGCTCGATATTCAAAATTTTGATGTAGAGCATGTATAGATACTTGTCGATTTAATATATCAAAATCAATATAAGCTATTTCAAGCATACTAAGAATAACATAAGTAAAAAGATTTTCTCCACATACTAAACGACTATCTTCATTACAATGTTTTATATTTATATAATCACGTGCATAAATAATAACCATTAAAAGTGTATGTAATACAAATGTTAATAAGATTAATAATTGTATTGCACCATACCATGTTATACCTAAATCATTTTATACTTGAACATTTTCCCATTTACGAAGTACAATAATAAATAAACTAAAATAACATACAACAATTATTACAATAAATATTAAATGTATAATTTTTCGAAAACGTAATTGTTTATGTTCATAAATACAATGATTAATTGTTAGAAAACATAAATAAATTTGTGATGATTGATTACAAATAATTGATTTTTGGTTATATGGATTATAAATGTGAATTTTCGAAACTTTTACATGAATACTATTAAAAACTAAAGCACTAGCGTCAATACAAAAAAAGTACTACAATAAATTCAGGGTCCATTGTCTTTGGAAGAATTGTTGGAATATTATGATAACTTTGCTTTATATGTGATAATGCTCGACGGAATTCCATTGATTATAATCTAAAATAAATTCATCACAATAGGCTAAATCTATCAAAAATGTTCTAAATGTAAGTTAAAGCTACTAGTGTGATTACACGATTTCTATTTGATAAGACGCTGTGAATAAGATTTATAATAAATATATATGATCGTTTATTGTTCTATTACTTCTTATCTGAGATGCTAACATTCCATTGAAAGTATAAAGGATAAGATTTTTCTCATTAACAGCACTAGCGTTCGATCGTATTCAAATTCTTTTCTTTTTTTCGTTTTTTTTACACTTATTTGACGTAAAGTTGTTCGTTCCGAATATATATACCTTTATGTGTCCAAGGAACATATAAATTCTTGACTGCTATTTTTGATAATAAAACTACTTCAAATATACTGAAATTCAAAATTTATGATATTGATGTATTAATGAAAACAACAAAAGAGAACTTAGACAATAAAAATTTTTATAATCTATCAATGTAGAAATCATACAAAAAAAATACTTATTGCAAATATTAACGCCTTATTTTTCGAATTCAATAATTAAGCAAAAATCATGAACTAAACTATCTACAAAATATTAATGTCTTCTATTAAAATATCGCACCTATTATATTTGTTATTGACTGTCACACTTAAAATAATCTGAAAGAAAAATTATGAAGTTCATTTGATAAACTCGATATGTTAAAGTACTATTGATTTGTTGCTGAAACCAATGGTAATTCAATAGTTAAGTACAGTTCAACCGCACAGCATGTTTATTTAGTATTCAATAGGTTTTTCTTCTTTTTTTCTTTCTACTTTCCAGTAAATACTTGTTTATTTGACAGGTATATTCAAGCAAAAATGACATGAAAACAAAAGGAAAAAAAAAAGTTGTTTGTTATATTTTATTACTCTATCAGCATAGTTACAAAAGGAAAACAGCAACAAGGTTTTCTTTTTCACACACATTATGTCAAAACAACGCGTACATACATTAATAAATATCGGTAATTCTAAATGTCTCTATATTCTCTTTTAATATTTTCTAGAATTTTAATCATGAGTGATTTAGCTGTTAGCAAAAAACAAAGCATTTATTGCTCGATATGTTCATAATAAATTTCTTTGTCATACACGTTGTCATATTAATTCCAATGGTTCTGCTGTATATATCAAACTACAATCGATGATCATGAATATGTATTAATGTTCGTTAATGTTCCTTCGTTTAATAAAATTTTAACAGCTTATTTAATTATATTTTCAATATGTAGTAAAAGAAGTTTTGAAAAAAATCAAACATATTCAAAGTTCAATTGATTTATTGTCTAATCAATCAACATCTATACTAATTATTATCATTGCAAATCAAATTTACTGAAGAGTCAATTGAAAAATTAAAATCAAATAGTAATTATATCATTGAAACAAGTGTTAAAATAAATCAAGACATTCATGATGTTATTAATGTTGTTATTTAAATTTTACAAAATATTTCTGTAGAAAAGCAAAAACCATAACGTTCATTCATATGTATGGTAATGTACAAAGAATAATCGTTCATGTTGCGAACGATTATTACGGTTTGGTCAACTATGAAGTGAACCTTCAGGTTAAACTCAGCTATTTTTACTTGAGTTTTTTTTTCTGTCTCACAGCATGAATATTTATTTTACTTTCAGGAAAATGTCAGATTTCAGTAAAAGTCACATCCCTCTCACAATAGTGGGTAGGGTTAAACCATCTTATCTTACTTTTTGCAACACAAAAATAGTTTTTAGTCAGAAATAATAAATTGCAAGATCATATAACAAAATATACTATGCTATATTAAAATTGACTTTTCTTTTTTAATAGAAAATTTAATAAAAACAAAAAACAAAAAAGAAAAGAGTAAATCGCTCAAACTGATAGTTTTTATTGCGGAAGCGCGGTCAAGCGTTGATTTTAGCGAAGAAAAAAGATGGCATAGGTCTTATGTCTAAAGATGTCTTTTATTTTACTTGCAATTAAATAGGATGACTAGCTGATTAGAAAAAAAAACGATTGAATATCATACAAAATTTTAAAAAAAACGAAAAAGAACTTTTGAAGTGTTCTTATCAGTTTAGCTTTTTATAGGTTAGCGACCAGCGGCTTGTTCTGCCGCTCTAGCTGCCATTGCTTGAGGCATCATAACAAAATGTTTGTAGAGTGATTGAATATATGTAAATACACATTTCCAATCAGGTTTATCACCCATTTCAATCATATCATTGACTTCAAGTAATGGTGCACATCCATTATCGCTATAAAAGAAAAAATCTTTATTGGTTTTTATTTTTATTATTATTTAAATAAAACTTACTCAGCGGCTTTAAAAGCTATTTCAAAATTTTTTCTTCTATCTTTTGGATTAAGAGAATCATAATTAATTGCATTAGGTAAATAATGATGTATAAGAGCACAAAAAGCCATACCATCTGCCCATGACGATGAAAAATTTGTTACATTGACATGCTTTACAAAATATAATTAAAAAATAATTGACTATATATATATATATATATTAGATGAAAACATACTTTATAACCTTTAGTAGTTTGTTGACACCATACAAGAAGACGCTCTTTTATACTTGCTGGATTTGTTGGTGCACCAGTACCTTGTTCACTAAATATTAATTATTAATATAAAGTTTTGTTGATAATTTCTTTTTGTTTTATTTTTAAATACCTGCTAGCTTTTCCTGTTCCACCAGCATCAATATCTTTTTGTTGAAACATAGCAAAAGCTGCTTTTGCGCCACCAGCTGCCTTTGCACCACCAGCAGCAGCAGCACCACCAGCACGACCTCCTAAAATACGCAATTCTATATCTACTTACGATAAATATATGTTCTTTATACCTCGAACTAAATTGAATGAAACAAAAAAAAAAAATAACAGACATATAAATAATTATGTTTAAATTATCTTACTGACCATTTTTTCCGCTCATTATTGTTGGTATTCAAACTAAAACAAAAAGAAATCTATTTTAAAAAAAAGAATTTCTATTTATCTAAATCAATGTACTCAAACATGCAGCCATGCACTTTGTGTACGTGATGAGATTTGAAACGAACACGTGCGAAATCGATTTGTTTTGATTTTTTTTCATCTTTTCTATTGATTGGAACTCACTCAGCTTTTTTTATATGTTCTGCATGCCATGTAAGAAAGGAAAGAACGACACAGATAATTTGTTCTACATCTAGACAAATTATGAATCTTGAATGATCCGATAAAAAAAATGGAAATTCATCCTGGAAGATATTTATTTAAGCAATAATGAAAATTGTGTTTAGGATATCCATATGGAATATATTGATATCTCAGCAATTCTGACACTAACGATTCGATACTTTCTCTTTTTTTGTAACAAATCAAGGTCATGGATATGATAAGAAACTATAATTCTTTTTGAATTCTTTTTTTTTTTTGAAATCAGCTACCTACCAAAAGTCTTATCAATAGCAGAAGTTATTAACTAGTATTATCTTGTTTTGACCGAGAGAAGTTATATTTGAAATTGTACTAAGTATATCGATGAATAAATAGACCGAACGAATTGTGTATCTATTTTGCCACTGGAAAAGTGACAACACTTGGCAATCTTCGTTACTAGCTGTCGTTATTTTTTTTCTGCTTATGATAATGACGTAGAAAACTTGTAATATCGGACAAATGTTGGCAAGAGGATAAAAAAATGCGGAAGTATGCGTCTTATTTCTTCTGCTTCTTCTAGTTATATCGAAGAGAAAACAACAAAATAGTACATATGGGAAAGAATGATATGGACAAAAAAAGATTGTACGTTCTTCTTCCCGACGATGATATCAAGCAAAAGAAAAGAAAAAAAAATCTACCCATTATTCATTCTTCTATACATCTGCACTGAAGAAAATCTATCAGCAAGGACAGCAAACAGCATGTATATATATATTTCTAAATAAGGAAATCCATACATCTATATATATATAAAAGCAGCTGCATCGTTGCTGGAACGCTTGATAATGGATCTGGTGATTACGCAAAATCAACAACACCATTCTGTATCTTTCTCATATAAAGATGTCAATTCTTAACTACGAATTGATTGTTCTCATTCGTCATAGATAAATATTAATATAGATGATGATTTATTTAGTCGAAACAAAAAAAAAAAAGGAGAAATGATATTTGATAAATCTTCACATATACAATTCACTGTTCATTTATGAAGGAAAAAAATATCATTATGTAAATGAGAAAAAAAAATGTATATATATATATATATGTATGAATAATAGATAAAATGTTATTCTGTTTTATTTTTTAAATTTCCATTTTATTGCTTGGTTAATAAATGTTTATATATATATATATATATATGTACATTAGTACGCAGAAAAACATTTATCAATTGCTCAAAGATACAGGTTGTTAAACAAATAAAAATGAAAGTTAAAATTTAAACATAAAAAATAAAAATATAATAATAATAATAGTCATGAAAAAATGAACAAAACCAAAGAAACAATTGGGACTTAATTCATTAATTGTCAAATGAAAATAATATTTTACTGGGTCGGTTGTCAGCAAAAAAAAAATCCTTTGAAATATATTTATTTATCTCGAATTGTCTAGTCTAATGTACTTCTGGTCCCGGCGGATCTTGGTTGTCATGATGCGGATCCTAAAATAAACAAGAATGGATTTAAAAAGTACTCGATTCGAAATTAGAAATGTACACCAATTGGCTCAACAGCTACTGCTGAGCAATGCATTGACTTACACCTCAAGTGGAGTTTTTATTTACTTGGTTATTTGGTTTGTTCGGATGTTCACGATTGTTTCGAAGTGTACGTGGACGAAATATGAAAAGTAAAAAAGCAATAGCAAGCCATATAGCTATTATTAAATACATATGAGATATTCCTGTATTACCACCATCAGTATTCGGTTGACCAGGTACTAAAAAATTTTCAGACTAAAAATACAATAGAATTTCTTTTTTTTTTAATCCTTACATGGGCCAGTAAAACATTCAGTATCAGTACATGTTGTTTGTGCATTGCGAAGCAGATTAGTCAAACGATTCATAGCATGTTCATGATTCATTTGAAGTATATTCTAATTCATATAAAATAGAAAGATATTTATTTTGAAAAATTATCTTACAATGCATTCACATGGATCAAAACCACCGCCACCACCACCACCACCACTCGGATTACCACCAGCGCCATCCATTATCTATTATATAAATGTCAAGATTCTTTTATTTTAATGAAATGTATATACGTACTCGAAAATATTTATTTAGAAAAAAAAAGGAAAAATATAAGTGTATCTTTTTCTTGGTATGAGAAAGAGAAGAAGTGGAATGAAAAAAAAACAAAGAGTTTGAAGTGAATAAGGTGACTATTGTTGTTGTTTCATGATGTCAAATAATCTGAAAGAAAAATAAAAAGGGAAAAAACAAGTTATGATTGTTTCTTTATCATTTTATTATTTAATACTATTTTAATAAATGATTCTTCACTTTATGGCTTTTTGTGTGTATCGAATATAAATCATCTCATATTGATAAAAAAAGTAAATATTATGTTTGCCAAAATGATATTCACCAATCAATAATAATGAAGAAATCTATTCTCTTGGCGAAATGCGAGCCTATTGACGGATTTGTAAAATAGATAGCGCCACGTATAAGATACTAATGGAAGTCTTGATAGGCAAGAATTAATTCAGAAGAAGTAATTTCTCTTATTTCAAAATTCAGTTTCGTGTTATCTAAAGTTAGATCATGCATAGGTATGTAAACAATGAATTTGTCTGAGTAATTGAAGAGTAATTACTTTTATACTGTGTGAGTTTCGTTCTTTCCGGTGATTCAGATAAAAAATAATTATTAATCTGATCGAAAGAAAGTACATATTATAGAGTAAGAAAAACATATTGATAACATCAGCGAAACTTATATGTAAAATAATCGTAGAACACGATGAGTATATTGCTGAAATATTCAATAAAATATAATGAAAAATATTTCTATCGGATGCAATAGTATAAATAAACCGAAAGAAACACAATTTAATAGATAGACTAAAAGAAATAATATTCTTTGGAATTTCTTCTCAGATTTTTGAATTGCTGATTTTTATTAATTAACATAAGCCAACATCTGACTGTTCAATTGAAATAGTTCAAAATATGTCAACAAAATGGTAGAATAGCCTTTCAGATTGATTCAACATAAATACATTAGATGTAATCAGTTATAATTCGGATATAATATCATGGTAAATAATAATGGAAATAACAATATCTATGATAATTTCGTCACATATAGTGATAAGATGCTTTTTGATCAATATGAAAAAAGGTAATAATACATAATAACCTTGATCACATGTATGATAGATGTTGTTTTGTACATATGTCGATGACTTTGTTTGACGCAAAAACAAGCTCAAATCAGATTAATGTCAATGATAAAATTACTAACAAATATATGGGTTTATGTCTATTATGCTAAAGATTAGAAAGACTGATATAAGAGTTATTATAGCCGATTGTAAATAGAGATTAGATTCTTGTTAAGTGTAAATTTTGGTGATTATGTGTGACTTCAGTTTATTAGTAATATCTTGGTTACGATGGCAAACAGAAGGATAATAGAAGAAGGAGAGATAGAAAGAAAACGATTAGAGAATAAGATAATGAATGTAATATCTAACTAGACTAGAGTAGAACGAACACGAATATATACATATATATATAAGAGCAGGTTGGGACAATTCCATATACGACCTAAGATAACACGGTGAGAAAATTTCAATACATGATGTTGGGAAAATCCTATGAAATATGTTGAAGAATTCCAACATGTGATACGCGGATATTTTTAACTATTATGAGTATCCTAGAAACTCGTTCCACGAACATTGAGCAAACTACAAACTTAATTCTGACTGCTCATTTTCTTTGTTGTTGACTCTCATATTTGATGAATTATCTTCTTGCAAATCATAGACAGTTTCTATTATCCAATCCGAAATAAAAGATGGATTATCATTTTTTTGAATAACTTTTGATAGGAACGAGATAGAGACCTGCAGTTTTCATCATTCAAAAGAGTGATGTCCGGATCATCGATCAGTATAGAACTCATTAAGGTGAAAGATTCTTTTTTTTGTAAGTACCTTTGAATCAACACTTTTTCTTTGAATATTTTCACAATAATCCCAACTCAAATTATGTCAAAATGTAGCTCAAATCATCCTTTTTTCACTATAAAATTAATATTTATCTTTTTAAAATCCGGTTAGAATAAGATGTTGAGAGCTAGTGGAGTATGCGGTAATTTTATAGCAAAAAAAAAAGCGTGATTTGAGCTACATTTTGACATAATTTCAGTTGAGATTATTGTGAAAATATTCAAAGAAAAAGTATTGATCGAAAAGTACTTATTAAAAAAAAACATTTTTCATGTTAATAAAAAGCTATTTGAAAAATGGTAACTTGCCTTTTATTTGGATCGGATAATAGAAACATTTTTCTTGGATCCAAATCATATTTAAAGAAGTCAAACTATTGTTAAAGATTACATATCTTTAGAATTTTATACAGAATAAGATGTTATAAACATCTATATAGGTTAAAGTCAATACGAAATCAATTTTCAACATCCTGAACTTTTTCATACTAAAAGAAGTTCTTGTCTATTTTTCTAATCATTGTTGATAGAATTAAATGTACATTCATAAATACACAAACTAAGTTCATTTTTATCGATATCTAATTGTTTTATTCGTAGTCAAGTAAGTAAATACGTCTGTCTACAGTTAAAACTTTAATTATTTAAACGAATAGACAACTTAAAAAAAGGGAGATTGTTAATACAGAGAATTGAGAACAATAATGAACAAACTAGGGAAAACATATACACATTTCAAACTTTCGAAATTAAAAGTATATGAATAATGCAAAAATAATCAATAGCTAATAGCTAAGTTATTTCGTATTATTTTCAAATACAACAAATAAAGTTTCCAATAATGACCACTATTATGCATACAAGAAAACATAGAAACATCTTGATTTATTATTTTAATGGCACGTTCGTCACAGAAAACAAATATAAAATACCATTTTGAATATTTAGGATATTAAATTCCAAGAGAAAGCAACTAATGCTTTACCATAGGGATGCATTATCTGAAGTATCCTGTCCTGCGCTGTACTTGCCCCTGATTCACATATTGTAAGAATTAAGTTTGATAAATACTAGAACCATTATACGTAGTCTCAACAAAAAAAAAATTTAATGTTAAGCAATTCAGTTTTACGTGTAAGACCAGTGGGCTAAATATGTTTGCTAGGTAATAATCAATATTTGAGGTACTAGAAAAAAAAATTTATAACATACTTTACTATTTTTATTTGAGGATTGGTTGAGAACTTTTATATTTGAATATCAAATAGTGTTCAAGTATTCGAACGAAAAAAAAACAAAGAACTACTTTTGAAAGTAAATTATTGTCATATAAGTGATTTATTCAGGGGTATCCCAAGCAAGAAGTATCCCAATCTTGAAAAATTTTCGTTTTTATCCAGCGTTTTATTCATATCTTTGTTCACCATATTCTTAAAAGACTCTTCGGTCGTCCCCTCAATCCTGATGATCTCATGATAGTCTTGCATATCGTTGAAATCAAATGATGACAGTAAAGAGAAACAATTGAAAAAAAAATAAGGCGTGTCATTTATTTTGGTCGGAGAGAATATATATACGCCAAATAATATTACTGAAAAGTTTGATAAATATTTAACTGATTTGCATTTTAAAAAACACAATCACTTCTATGAATATTTTAGACAATATAAAATATATAAAAATAAAATTTTTGTTATGATTCAATCATTTGTAAAGAAATGAAACTATTGTCAATCATTATATATATCTTGAAAAAAAAGAATTGTACAAAATAAGAATTTATAAATTTTTAACTTGATAGAGACAATAATAAATCAATATTTTCTGTCCTTTGTTTCTTAATAACTAAAATACGTTCTTCATCTTCTTCATTCATATGATCAGTATTTGTTTCTTGTGTTATTGTAGAAAAATATTCTGCTTGACAAAATGTTGATCGATTTTGTTTAATTAGAAGACTTGTATTTGATGTTAGAATAGTCTGAGATGATCGTGTTTGATAACGATTAATATTAGCTATTAAAATTAAATCAAGTTCAAAAGCATTGCCTGTATTTGTTGATTTTGTTGATTGTTGAGAAGAATTATTCATAGAATCAAATATATTCTCATCAATGTACAAACGAGATTCATCTTCATCGAATTTCTTTATATCTTGTTCATCATCACTGATAATCATCAAACTATCATTATCTGTCATAGTAAAGTGAAGAAACGCGCCTGTAAATATTCAAGAATTTATTTCTTTAAAAGATACAAAAAAAAATATTTGAAAAAAAAAAAACAAAAGAAAAATATCGGATAGTTTATTCTTGATTAAGTGGACGTATGACATGAAATTTCCAAAATTTTGGATGTGAATATTCTGTTGAATTTTCAATGTCATTCGAAAAAAGTACACCTTCATCTAATGTAACAAAATAAGAATCACCTTCTGACCATATATGACCTGTTGTACGAAATACAATTTGAGGTGGAGAATTATAATAAAGAATTAAAGCTGATGTTGAACAATCAAGTTGATATTCACATTTTGATGTATGTGTATTAAAAAAACGAATGTATGCAGGAAATTTTGGTCTATTAACTCGTGCATTTGCTAAAAAAAAAAGAAAAAAGAAAAATAGAATAGATTACTAAATTAGAACATACTTTTAACAACCCAATAATCGTCATCTCTATCAATAATACCATCAACATGTTTTTCTGTTATCCATCGACCATGTATCATAGTACAAATAAATGTAAAGAAAAGAAATATATTCATAGCGTCTACCATTTCTCAAAGATTGATAAAATATTAAAAAGAATAAATGCGAAAAAACAATTGTTGATTTAAATGAAACTTTTTTTTTTTCTAATTCATATCGATCAAGTAAAATGTTGAGTAAATATTATTTTAAAATTCTCTTTTTTTTTTTCGTTATTTTAATGCAAATATGTTGTTCACTTAATTCAGTACATTTATTATGCAAGCATAGAATGCAAAATAATTTGTTGAAACAATCAAGAATTCTACATATTATTATTT